TATGTTTAGAGTAGTAATTAAATTTTTTCAAATTGTCAGGAGGGCAGTTATTTTCCTTTGTGTGAGTTTTAATATTTATTACAGTAACGGTAAACAAACTCCTCATAACAATGTTTTATATATTAAAGGATAGATAACTAATTTTTTTCTCTTTTTTTGCAGCTCGAGGTCGATTTGTAAATCAGATAAATAAGAGTAGAATATTTCAAGAAGTTTTGATAAATTCTCACTCAGTATATCAGAAGAATTCGTGCGTACCCGTGTAGTGTTATATGACTGAAAAGTGCTGATAATGGAAATCTACGGAACTATAAACGTAAGGACAACGGGCTAGGCTACAAGATCATCCGACTGTGAAGGTAGGATTACATTGCATTTACTTTGAGGAGAATTTGATTGTTTGATCCATAATTCCTAGCGTTATTATCGATTAGAGAATGCATTTAAAATATGTTAAAAAATAATGCATCAAGCAACGATCTGTCTAGTTTGTAATTGAATATTTTATTGTCGATTTACTCTGGAAATCGTTTGTTTTGATTAGTGTGGATTAATTAGTACAGATGATGACCTTCATAATGGTGGGCAATGCCACCAAATGTACAGAGGCGTTTGACATTAATTTCTTAGGTTGAATTTAGGCGTTTTAATATAATTAATGTTTGAATATTATAAATCAAGGAAAGAAACTCGGACATGTTGTTATAAAGTTTGGCAAATTTTGTTTAGTATAGAATACGTTCGTATAATAGGACTTCGCATAAACCAGATCGTGGTTTCAAAATACATACTCACACACACACACACACCGTTACAAACCAGTTCAGGATCGTGCAAAAAAAACCAAAACATGGAACTGAATCAAATAAAGAGTTATGGGGAAACTGCCTACTTGTTTTCTTTTTTGTCCTATTAATTAAATCAAAAGCTTTTTAAAGCGTTTTATAAAAGGCGTTGTTTCCAATAATTACGTTTTTTTTTTTAATCAGCTGTTAATAACGCTGGCTAGAAGAAAAGATTGGAAGTTTTTAAAGACAAAAATTGGATCTTGTTTTAAGTAAATAAAACGGAAAAGACTTTCAATGTTTTAAATAGTTTTATTCGTTAAATAAAAATAATATAATGTTATTTCATGTAATATTCATTGGTAGGTAATAGAAATAGATGTTATTAATAGCGGCAGACATTATGTAGCAGATATGTAAGTAGATAGAGCTAGATGTTCTTTTTTTGAATATGTAGGTATACAAGTAGACAGTCGCCCTTTTAACGCAGTTTGGATACCAAAATTACAACGTAAACGTTGGCCGACTTGATGCAGGTAATACCGTTCCCGAATTAGAAATGTCTGTTTCTGTTCATCTGAGAAACCATCGGCGGCGGCTGTAGGCCGCACAGCCGCCGCGGTACAGGGGTCGGGGACGAGACGGGTGAAGACAGAAGAGCAGGTACTTGGTACTACTCACTTGAGGTAATATACCTGTCCCTCCGGGGTGCGGGCTTGTTCCCAACCGGGAGGCAAAGGGGTGGTATCATCCGATTTACTAGCTACGTCGTAGGAACGTTGCTTGATGTGGTGGTGTGTAGCAGCAGTTTGTTGTTGTCCAACGGCATAAGTTTGCTGTAAAGAAGCAGGCGAACTATGAGCTCGATGGTGAGCACTTTGAAGCGGGACCGTGTTGACGGCAGCGGTCGTGGTGCTACCGCCCCCGCTAGATGACCCGAACGCGGAATCGACAGAGTTCTCACGCGAATGATTGATAGACTTGGAGCCCGTGGACGGTGGGTTGAAGAAAGAGTCCGGTAGCTTCCGCATGCTCCATGGCACCTGCAATGGCCTTTTAGAATCCGGTTTAAGAACGCTATCAAATAGCGCTTGCAGGTCTGTCTCCGAGTCTTGGTCTACCCGCACCACCTGTTTACTCGATTCGTCTTGGTTTAATGCCATTTTAGGCACCAAAATCGACTCGCACTAACACTACCTTTCCCACACTTAATAACACTCACATACACGACACTGTTTATTTTGTCCCCGAGGATCTTCGGGGTACGGGAGCGGTTATGACCGTCTGATGTAAATGCAAACAGGTCAGCCACGGACTCGTTTTGGCTTCCGTGAGCCGAGCCTTTGCCTGACAGATTGCTCTGCTATTGCTATGGAATGCATGACCGCGACACGACACACCTGTGTCTTCGTTCCTCCGCAACCGAGCTAGTTACGAGCTTTCACGAACTGCCACCAGACACAGAACATAGAATACACCGAGAGGTTTCTTTCTCTCTTTAAAGTTGATTTATATCCTTCTCAGAGACATACGTCGCCATCTGTTGGCGCAATGTAATCGAATTTTAACTTGCAGTTTAAACTTTAGCGCTATCTCGTGGTTAACATGAATGGTTCGTGCAGGTTTCTATGTCTGTAGTCGCAGGATCAAATTCAAAATACTTTCTGTAAATTTTAGATTAAATACTAATATTAAAATATATTTTTTTCAAAATAATTTATTATTTATTTACTGTTGGTTGCAGTTTTTAAAACGTTTACTTTTTATTATCAACCAAATTTTGTGATATTTAAGGCGAGTTTCTTTTTGATTTATTTATTTATTCCTTTACCACAGTCTCCTTTTCCTATAATATATTTGTTACCATGGATAAGAGACATAAATACATTAAACTTTGACTTTGCTGTTTATACTATGAAAACATAATTTATATAAATAATCTTTGCACTATTTAA